TGTCCAGGCGTGAAATACCGCTTCGCTCTGTTGAGAACTCCCAACATTTTAGAGGCCAATTTGGCTTTACCTTCCAAATGACTCCGAAACTGGACATCGCTCGAAATATCGACCCCCAGAATCCCGATACTCGCGGAAAGCTGCAGGGATACTCCTTGAAATTCCGGCGCCATGACAAAAGGGTCCTTCTTCGCAGTGAACGCGCAAACCTGTGTCTTCAATGGGTTGAACTGAACTGAATTCAGTTCACCCCACTTGGAGACCCGCCCCAGAGAGTTCTCCACTTCAGACACAAGTTTTAATCGCCTCTCGTGTACAACGCTTCGAGAGAGACTCTGATGGCCGATATATCGCGCATCCCCCGTGCTATCATCCGCATAGCAATGCATGCCATCAATGGATAGCATGTCATTGATATGCAGTATGAAAAGCGTGGGGGAGAGCACCGAACCTTGTGGAACACCAGCGTTGATGGTCATGGTATCGGAGCAGCAGCTGTCGACGACAACTGTGATGCTCCGTCCATCCAAAAAGCTAGCGATCCACTTGCAGAGTCCCTCAGGGATCCCGTATGCTGGAAGCTTCGATAGAAGTGCCCTATGCCAGACCCTGTCGAAGGCCTTCGCGATGTCAAGGCTCACGGCGAGAGCCTCGCCCTTGCTTTCCAAGGCTTCAGCCCATTTATGTGTGAGGTATACAAGAAGATCGCCAGCTGAGCGACCATGACGGAAACCGTACTGCCACCGTACTCTTCCACTCACGAGCCTTATGAACGGGCATAGTGATGCGCATTATTGTGGTCGATAAGCGTTATCGATAATGTGTTTAGTTTTGTCATTTTGTGGGTTAGTGATAAAAATTAAAGTAAAAATCACTAATCGAACACTTACACCACATATCGCCGCAGCAAGTTAACGAGAACGGCAGAAATTAACACTTTGTAACTTTTTGGGATCTATTCTTATTTCAGTGAAATATTTTAACACGTTGTTGAACAACACGTGCAAATATTATTTTGAATAAATTCTGCCGTTTTGATACAAAACAAAGGAGTAGCCATTGTGTCACTAAGGAAATTCAGAGAACGAATGCATAAAAACATATTTCTCTTCGACATATGTACTATAATTTGCAGATAGGTACAACAAATGACTCATAAGATAACAATGTCTCATCGCCTTTCGTATACCACCCCGCCGCCGTGTACTTTACGGGTGGCAACCCTACTTACACGCATTCTATCACTTTCTCTCTCTTTCTACATCTCTCTTTATATATATTTCAATTGATTAGTACACCGCGTATAATTAGTTTCCAAACTATTTTTTCCACCTGATGGTTGTCTGGAAGAGATCGCTCTTAGCCCTAAGACCGCCAATTGTTCTTTTTTTTTGTATTTAATGTTTCGCATTGCTTCTTCTGTCGATGTACAATAAAGAATACTCTCCTCTCTATCTCTCCTAAATAAATAAATAAAAATAAAAAATCCTCCCCCCCTCTCTCTCCCTCCCGACGAACGAATTAACCCATAGACAGCTCACCGAGTTTCTCGCCGGATCTTCTCAGTGGATCGCGTTTACGATCCGGTGGGTAGATTCTGCGAAGCACTGCTCTTGCTAGGGTCAGTGTTAGCATCATTCCGGTTTGAGCCCCGTGAGCTCACCTACTAGTTAAGGTTACACTGAAATAGCCTCTCAAGGCTATCAGCTTAAGCAGGGGGAAAAAAATCTCCTGCCCTTCTCCTAGTCACCTGGGGTCGGCGCAACATGTCTACTCCTTCTATACTCCTCTATCATATACCATTTCTTCGCTCACTCCCCTCTTCACGCAATCCATCCAATTCTTCTTTCTACCTCTATATCCTTTAACATTCATAGTTAACACTCTGTTACAAGGGCGGGATGATAAGTAACTAGCCTAATAATAAAACACTTAACTTTCGGTGATAATATTAATTTTATTTTTCGACCTAGTCTCCGTGAACCTCTACGAACTTATTCCATCTTCGTTCTAAAGCAGTAATGCCTTCCATAAAATAATTTCTTTCGAGGCCTGTAAAATACTCCAATACAGCGGCTATGACTTCATCATTTGTGGCAAATTTCTGTCCGCCCAAAAAAGTTTTGAGCTTAGGGAATTAGTGGAAGTCTGATGGCGCTATATCAGGCGAATAAGGTGGGTGGGGCAGCAAATCTTACTTCAATTCGTGGATTTATTGCCATAGCTTTAACACATGTGTGACCCTAGGGTGGAAAAATTTCTTTTTCCGCCAAATCTGGTTGTTTTTACTGAATACATTGATGAAGATTATCTAGAAGATTAGTGTAGTATTCTCTGTTAATTGTTTGACCTTTAGGAAGGTAATCTATCATCAAGATCCCAACTGCATCCCAAAAGACGGAAGCCATGACTTATTCAGCCGACTTTACAGCAATGGCCTTTTTTGGAGCCAACCATCCCGATTGCGTCCACTGTTTTGATTGAATTTTTGATTCTGACGTGTAATAATGAACCCATGCTTCATCTGCTGTTACAAATTGACGTAAAAAATCGGCTTTATTACTCTGAAACGGTCCAAACATTCTTTTGAGTTTTGCACCCGAATCCTTTTTTGATCGTGTGTAAGCAATCGCGGCACCCAACGGGCCGATGACTTTTTCATATTTAATTCCTCACTTAGGATATGATGTACCCGGTCTTTTGAGATATCTGTAGTGTCAGCTATTTCAGATAACTTCAATCGTCGATCTGTTAAAACCATATCATGTACTTTCACGACCATTTCCGGTGTCGTGACGCTTTTTGGATGTCCGGGGTGGGCTTCATCTTGGACACATGTATGACCGCGTTTAAATTAATCCACCCAGTTTTTTACTGTGGCATAAGAAGGAGCACATTCACCCAAAACATTCTTTAACTCGTCATAGATATCTTTCCCCTTCATGCCCTACATATGAAGAAACTTTATCACCGATCTTTGTTCAAATTTATCCATTTTGAAAACACTTGACGAAATATATTTTCAAATGACAAAAAATAAATAAAATTTTCACGCCACCAAATTGAAATTTAGAACACAGCTGGCCAGAGAGACGAATTTACAAATGACATATTTAATTTTTGAATTTTAACTTTTTAAATAGCAGAGGCTAGTTACTTATCATCCCGCCCTCGTAACAACCTCTGCAACCACTCACGGTCAGGTAAACAAAAAAAAAACACGTCGCCCTGTTAGCATCCAATGCGTCTTCGCAGTCCATTGCGGGCTCGAATCATAACGACCGGATTGGTCGTTATAATCGATTAAAAAATAATTCGCGTCAGACTCGAACCAAAAACGTGGTAATATCATAACGAACAATTCTAGTCGTGATGAAATATTTGAAAATAAAAACTAAAACCTTCAACCCGATTGCAGCGTCAACTATCGATTATAAAATTTATAGTTTGACAACCGACTTCCTTTGTTTTTAAGTGTCAATAAAATCAAATTTTGGACCGGTTCAATCCACATTCAAAGTGTGGAGCTGAAGGATTTTTTTGAGAGGTTGTGATCAGGTCCAAGATTTTCCGGTCACACCATCAAAGAATACTCCGTAGAAGGTAAAAAATTACATTATATTAATCATTAATCATATAAATATTGCACTATATTCATAACGAACTAGAATGGATTATGGATTTTATCTTTGACAAGAATGTTCATTCAATGTTTTTTTTTTATGATTGAAAGATTACTGGTGGCCAGGAGGGCTTTCCAGTTTCACCAGGACAGGTGGTCATTCAATGTTCGAACTGTAATTTCGGAACATTCTTGGTATAACAAGAAAAAAAAAGAATTTTAGTCTTCATGTGTTAATGATCATGGTCTAATTTCGATCTAAGAAAAAAAAAAACATTAATATACCCAATTAGAATTACGTGCATAATCAATAATATAATAATGTGATTTGGGATTTAAAAAAGTTATGTTTTGGCTGTATATTTCCACATTCCTTTGCCATACAACAAACAATCACCAAAAAAAAACACTTACCGTGTCTTAATAGGAGATCCATGGCATCCAAATGTGAATGTTCCGTGGCGACATGAAGTGGAGTCTGGCCATCTTTGTTCTTCTCATTGACACGGGCACCCTTCCTGATCAGCATTTCCATCACCTGAAGACNAAAAAAGTTATGTTTTGGCTGTATATTTCCACATTCCTTTGCCATACAACAAACAATCACCAAAAAAAAACACTTACCGTGTCTTAATAGGAGATCCATGGCATCCAAATGTGAATGTTCCGTGGCGACATGAAGTGGAGTCTGGCCATCTTTGTTCTTCTCATTGACACGGGCACCCTTCCTGATCAGCATTTCCATCACCTGAAGACAGACGCCACTGTAGACACGGTCCTCTGCAGCTTTTTACTGGTGGTAGGACCTCTTGTGAGTCCGCGCGGGTAGGTACCACCGCCCTGCCTATTTCTGCCGTGAAGCAGTAATGCGTTTCGGTTTGAAGGGCGGGGTAGCCGTTGTAACTAGACCTTAGAACTTATATCTCAAGGCGGGTGACGCATTTAAGTTATAGATGTGAAATGAAAGTATCTCAGGGCGCTCCGAGAGCCACGACACGTGCACGCACGAACGTCAACAACACACTGAACTAGTCGGGGACGCGAGACCGTGTGGAGCGCTTCGTGATTTGTCGGCGCCGCTCAGAGACGCTTCGGGAAGCCAATCGCGGCACACTTATTTTTTCGTTTCGTTTAATTTCGTTTCATCGAGTTTGAAATCACAACGATTCTAAAGAAGTTTCACTTCAAAAAAAAGAAAAAATACTGTACTGATCCCGAGCTCTGTACACATATCCTACCTGTTTCCTCTTCGGGTAGACGCTGGCGGCTGCGCAGTGTAGAGGCCGATCTCCTGTGGTCAGGTGTTGGAAGTTGACCAGGGCCTCCATGGTGCAATCTCCTGGCAGCGACTGCGTGCTCTCTGTCGTCGATGCGGACGTGCTCTACAACAATCAAAAGTTTGTAGGCAACGGCACACAGGCATTGCTGAAGTCCATGGGCGACGGTAACCATTCACCTTCAGGCAGGCCGCACCCTCGTCTGCGTATTGGGGCAATCTGTATATATAAAAATGAATTGCTGTTCGTTAGTCTCGCCAAAACTCGAGGAGGGCTGGACCGATTTGGCTAATTTTGGTCTTGAATTATTTGTGGAAGTCCAGAGAAGGTAGAAAAAGGTAGATAATTAAGAAAATGCTCGGAATTAAATAAAAATAACAATTTTGTTTTCCCTTTGATGTGTCCTCCGTCGGAGAGATTCCTTTTGTTTGTTTTAAGTTTATTTTATACAAAAGTTTAGGTCTTTTATTTATCGATTGAGGCACTACGAAGTCTGCCGGGACAGCTAGTGTATAAATAAAAGTTATAGTTATTGCTAACACTGGCCCTAGCAAGAGCAGTGCTTCGCAGAATCTACCACCGGATCGGAAACGCGACCCACTGCGAAGATCCGGCGAGAAACTCAGTGGGACTGTGTCTGTGGGTTAATTTACTCGTCGAGCCCTTCGTCGCAAGCGACGGGTTCGGCGAGGACGGTGACCGGTGCTTGAGGTACCTAAAAGCAACGTTAATGGATCGGGAGGATCCGTAATGACTCCGTAATGACTGAATGGGGTCAAGCACTCTACGGTACGCAGCGGCGTCTATACTCTTGGCGTTGCGAATGACCATAAGCCACAGTGACCACTCACCATCGGGTCGTACGTTCCACCACCATTCTATTACCAATGACTCTTTACTTGGTAAGCCGTATCTATATGAGATCTATACGAGAAGCAAAAATTTTGTACCCCTTTTTACGAAAATTGCGCGGACGGAGGAGTATGAAATTACCCAAACTTATAGAGAATATAGAGAAGAAGTGCACAATGCTAATATTTGTAGTATTTGACACACACATATACTTATATATACTCTTTATTTACTGTCAAACTTTTGTTTTGCTTATAGCCTGTGGTCAAATTGAGAATAGGTTAATATTGTTTATCTTTAATATTATTTATCTATAGTGTAGTCTTGTCGAAATCTGTGATTATAGAAATATAATAGTCTTTGACAATAGAATCATAATAATGTGCAGACTTATNTTTGTAGTATTTGACACACACATATACTTATATATACTCTTTATTTACTGTCAAACTTTTGTTTTGCTTATAGCCTGTGGTCAAATTGAGAATAGGTTAATATTGTTTATCTTTAATATTATTTATCTATAGTGTAGTCTTGTCGAAATCTGTGATTATAGAAATATAATAGTCTTTGACAATAGAATCATAATAATGTGCAGACTTATAATTTCAGTTAATTATAGTCGAATTTCGACTACTGCGGGACCACTACTAGTATCTCTAAAAGGCAACAAGAATACACAAAATGGCGTCACTTGTTAATACCGCTACTTGTTAAGAGATTGCCTTCGCTGTCAAAATATGACTCACTTGGTACTGATGCTGGATCGCTGTGGAAGACAACTGCTTCTTGACCCTCGTTGGTTCCGCGAGCCTGCAGGCTTCCAGGAGACAATGTCCGCGATACTCGACTGATGGAGGAATTATTCGCATTAAGGAGTTACCGGAGGAGTCAGTCAATTGTGGGCAAATGAGGCGCCCCTCTGAGGTATGTGGTCGATGGTCCAATTAAAAAATCGTGATGCTTCACGACAAAAAGAAGCACGGTGGAGATCAGTGATTGCGCAAATTTATTGACTTATTTTTTTAAACACACTTTTATTAGCTACTTAGCCGTACTCGCCCGCTTCGCTGGGCATTTAAAATTAACATTATTATTTATTGTCATTATTGTTAGGGAGTCTAACACTCATATAAATATTAGCCTATCCATTAAGTACATGTTAAACAATAATAAAAGACTTAATTACGTTTTCTGTACAATATTAAAAAAACAATGTTTAAAGCCTTTATTTTCCACAAATCATTTTTACAGAGTATTCTTGAATTAAATAAAACTGAACACGACTTTTTTCTCAATGACAGAGAGTTCAGTCAATCTATATAAGAAAATATCTTTTTTTCTAAACATTATTATTTCTCACCCCCACAAAGATTCTCATCATTAACACCCCCGCAACTGGTTTAGGGAGTCCAACACTCATATAAATATTAGCCTATCCATTAAGTAGATGTATTTTCTACATGGATACCAAGTTTCAAGTCAATCGGATGCACGGTTCAGTAGTTATAACGGAACATCCGTAAAAACCATTGTAGATTTATATATTAGTATAGAAGTATAGATTCCAGCATCTATATATCTATGTGAGAGAATATGTGAAACGTTATTTTGACAGACTTCAAGACGCCCAATCGACTTGACAATTCGCACACGCGTCAAGGACCAATTGACGGTACAATAATTTCCCCTAATATCCTGGCCGGGGTCACCAGGAGGAAAAAGGTATTTTCATTCGACTGCTTATACAATGGTTCTTAAGGTATGTAATATTAGAGTCTATATCTTTTTCCCTTCCTGTTTGCTGGTAGCCTAAGAGGCTATTACTATGCCCGGATGGGTAGGTGAGCTCACGGGCTCAACCTGAGAGAATTTGCTAACACTAGCCCTAGCAAGAGCAGTGCTTCGCTGAATCTACCACCGGATCGGGAACGCGACCCACTGAGAAGATCCGGCGATCCATATCTATCCCACACTAATGACCGCCAGCTTCGCGGCAGGACCGCGGTATCTACCCACGTAAAACCCACTAGCTACCACCACCTGCCCGGGGACCTTATTCCCTAAGTTACTCACAGGCCAGTCTGTCTTGGAGTTCTCTGGTGGGCGCGACGTCTAACGCCGACTTCCCGTGGCAGTTGAGCAGGGTTGGGTCCGCCCCCTCGCTCAGCAACAAAGAGCAGACCTGCTCAGGGCAGAAAGATTAACGGAAACGTCACGAACAAATGCAGTGATAAAACTAATTTATACGTAGCGACGAGCCAGTCACGTAAGTGGCACAGCCGCCACCAGCGTCCGGGTGCAGGGAGGGATAGAAGGGAGAGAGGGAGAAAGAAAAAGATAGAGAGAGAGAGAGAAAGAAAAGAGAGAGAGAGAAAAAGAAAAGAGAGAGAGAGAAAGAAAAGAGAGAGAGAGAAAGAAAAGAGAGAGAGAGAAAGAAAAGAGAGAGAGAGAAAGAAAGAGGAAGAGAGAGAGAGAGAAAGAGGAAGAGACTACCGTCCCCCCCCCCCTCGACTCCCTCGCGTGACTCGTCGCTTCCTCACACTATGAGAACCAAGCAAGCGTACTATGTCGCTACGTTATCAGAGAAAAAAACAGTTATGTACTATTTCCTCGTTCATGCTCTGTACACATATTTTTTGATAAATTAGATGCACGTCCCACCTGGTGTTTAGCGGTTACCGGGGCCCATAGACATCGGCAACCTAAATAGCGCCGCGCGTCTTAAGACAATGAGCACCATGTTTTAGTTTCTTTATAGTAACAATATCACTGAATCACATAACAGTGAAACTAAGATCTACTTTTCTATTGCTTTTGTAGGCAGACGAGCATACAGCCCACCTGATGATAAGTGCTCACCGTCGCTCATGGACGTCAGCAATGCCAGGTGCAGAGCCAAGCCGCTGCCAACCATAAGCATTAGTGATCTTGTAAGATTAGTATAGGGTGGCCATGATGGCTGGGTCCACGCACCTCGAGCCTGGCTTTGCTGGCGGCCTCGTGCAGGGGCGTGAAGGCCCACAGATCGGTGGCGTTGACATCGGCCCCCGCCCCCACCAGCAGCTCCGTGACCTCGTAGTGACCATACGAGCACGCGTTGTGCAGGGGGACCAGGCCTCTGAGGGTCAAGGAAATCACCTTATATACACTTGCAGTCATGTTGCGTTGCCAAAATAATGATTACTAGTGGCCCCGCAGTAGTCGAGATTCGACTATAATTAATTAAAATTATAAATTTAAACATTATTATGGTTCTATTGTCAAACACTATTATATTTCGATAATATTATCACAGTATTCGCCAAAACTGCACTATAGGTCAATAATATTAAAGACAAATAATGTTAATCTATTTTCGATTCGACCACAGACTTTAAAAAATAACAAAAGTTTCCCAATTTACAGTAAACAAAGAATATATTTTTATGTATGTGCTGTGTCAAATACATGGAAGTGTGTGTAATGTTTTCTTTATTGATTTAATGTATCCTTTATGCATTATTTAAAAAAAATATTAGCATTGTGCATTTCTTCTCTATAATCTCTATAAGTGTGGAAATTTTCATACTCCTCCGTCCGCGCAATTTTCGTAAAAAGGGATACAAAGTTTTTGCTTCACGTATTAATATATAGATTTACTAGGACCTCTTGTGAGTCCGCGCGGGTAGATACCACCTAGTTCTGTCGTGAAGCAGTAATGCGTTTCGGTTTGAAGGGCGGGGCAGCCCTTGTACTGTTAAAAGTGAGACCTTAGAACTCATGTTTCAAGATGGATGGGGGCATTGTAATTGTCTATGTATTTTCTATGCACTACCATTTCCATACATCTCCTAGTCACATTCATCTTCTCTTTTTTTTTCCCTACCTATGCTGATAGCCTTGAGGGGCTATTTCAGCTTCACCCTAACGTGTGTAGGTGAGCTCACGGGGTTCAAGCCGGAGTGTTGTTAACACCGGCCCTAGGCAGAGCAGTGCTTCGCAGAATCTACCACCGAAATCTTCTTTCTGCGCATCACATGTCCACGGCAGAAGTAGGCAAATTGATGGTGCCTACCCACGTTGATTCACAAGACGTCCTACCAGCGCGTAACTCCCCACGAGGGTCCCCACTCACAAGAGGTCCTACCACCAGTAAAACTCCCCACGAGGATCCCCACTACGAGCACTGACCCCTTGTCCTTGGCGTGCACGTCGGCGCCCCGCTGCAGCAGCAGGCGCAGCGCCCGCGCGCGGTTGTACCCGGCGGCGAGGTGCAGCGGCGTCGAGCGGCGCCCGTCCCCAGCGTGCACGTTCACGTTCAGAGGCGTCAACAGGGCCGCCAGCCGATCCTCGGAGCCGGATCGGGCCGCTTCCAAGACCTCCGCCGCACAGTGCTCGCCTGACGCAGAATAGTACATATCGAGAGGTGAAAAGAGGGAGAGTGCGAGAGGGACAGAGAGGGAGAGAAGGATGGAGAGAGAGGGATGGAGGGGAGAGAGGGATGGAGAGGGGGGAGGGGGAGAGAAGGGGAGGGAGGGGGAAAGAGGAGTTCGAGAGAGAGAGATTGCTTAGATGGGTGTACGAGCTCACAGTCTGGTTTTAAGCGGTTAATGGAGCCCATAGTTCGATTAGACTAGCCATAGCCCCGACATAACACAGCCCCGAGGTTCCATTCCCGCGTCGGGCAAGCCATACGTGTGACGTACAGGCTTGTTTGCTCTTTGTCTGGTTGTTTAATTGGTGTATGTATTTGTTCAAACGTACACACAGGGGTTTCTATAGTAGAATTATTTTGTCCGTGCAGTTTGGGTCATAAATCAGCCCGCCCGGCTAGGGCGGTGAGAATGTTACGCGGGCGCAACGCCCTTTTTTGTTAAAAACATATGAGTCAATGAAGGCGGCGGGGCGGTATACGAAGGGTGGTGAGACATTGTTATGTTATGAGTCATTTGTTGTACCTTCCTGCAAATTATAGTACGTATGTCGAGAGATATGTGTTTTTATGCATTCGCTCTCTGAATTTCTTTAGTGACACAATGGCTACTCCTTTGTTTTGTACCAAAACGGCAGAATTTATTCAAAATAATATTTGCACGTGTTGTTATCAACAATGTGTTAATAATTTTTCACTGAAATGAAAATAGATCCCTAAAAGTTACAAAGTGTTAATTTCTGCAGTTCTCGTTAACTTGCTGCGGCGATATGTGGTGTAAGTGTTCGATTAGTAAATTTTACTTTCATTTTTATCACTAACCCACAAAATGACAAAACTAAATACACTATCTATCGATAAGGCTTATCGAAAACAATAATGCGCATCACTATGACCTTCCATAAGGCCCGTCAGTGGAAGAAAGAGCGAAATACTCGCTTTACCGCTCCGATTATTAATGAACCAAACTGCGCGGACAAAATAATTCTACTATAGCCAGATGAACTCATATCATTTGTTCCTTGTTATCGTTTCATTTCTCCAACAGACTCAGCCCGCGACCGCCGCCACATCCTTAACGCTCGAAGGTCGAGTGAAGTGTGTATACTTATAAACTATAGCATAGCATAGCATAGTATTAGCATAGCATTTAGTATATAACATAGTTAATAGGTGTAATCTCGTATGTCCCCCTAATAAGGCGGACCACCCAGGAACATAGGCTCCTTCATAATTGTAAACTAGGATTAAGATGATAATTAAACATGGAATACACGCAAGAAGACGTTTTCCTTTAACACCTCCCAAAGTACAACATTTTTTTTATTGCCCTTGTAGACAGACGAGCATACGGCCCACCTGATGGTGAGTGGTTACCGTCGCCCATGAACTTCAGCAATGCCAGGGACAGAGTCAAGCCGCTGCCTACCGCTTCATAGTCTCCACAAGCCTCGTTTGAAGAAGGACATTACATGGCGACCCTGCCAAATGGTTAATTTTGTCAGTTTAAATTAAAACTCATTATTATACCTGTCAGCACGGGCCTGGTGGAAGAGTCCGCCAGATCGAGGGGCGTCTTACCCTCGGTGTTCCTGATGTTCGGATCGGCGCCGTGCTGGAGGAGAGCTGGAAATTCACATGGCCCTTATTGATTTCCTCTTCCTTGACGAACTTTTTCAAGTTCGCAGCCAGTGGCGGATTTACCCTAAGGGCACAAGGGGTAGACACGGGCCTAGGGCGGCCAGATTTAGGGGCGGCCCCAATCGTCGCAAAAAAACTTATTATAACGTATGGCGGGCGGACTGCAATGCATGGTTTTTTACTGGTGTGAATAACAATGAATTGAAAGAGATGGTGGAAGCCGATCAGAGCCAAACTACCCAGGAATTAGCGGTATGGTTTAACGTGCACCGGTGTTCGAATGCCGCAGACGGGTACCAATTTTTCTAATGAAATACGTACTCAACAATTGTTCACGATTGACTTCCACGGTGAAGGAATAACATCGTGTAATAAAAATCAAACCCGCAAAATTATAATTTGCGTAATTACTGGTGGTAGGACCTCTTGTGAGTCCGCGCGGGTAGGTACCACCACCCAGCCTATTTCTGCCGTGAAGCAGTAATGCGTTTCGGTCTGAAGGGTGGCGCAGTGGGTCCACTATAGAACCGAGACTTGGAACTCATGTTTCAACGTAGGTGGCGGCATTTAGTTTAGTCGATGTGTATCGTGGAGTCACTATTGTACTATAGTGTGGTTAGTGCGAGTTTTTTAAACATTCTCGATTACATAAAAGTTAACTCGAATTTGTATGCAGTTGGAACAGCGCCCGTAGCGGCAAACGTTGGCAACGTTCCCACACCATACAAACATGAGTTAACTTTTACGCTATCGAGAACGTTAAAAAACACTCACTAAGCATACTGCTGTACGGCTGTACTGGCAGAGAAGACTCAGGACACCAGTAAGGACTAACTTACCTATGCAAACGTCGACTTTTCCTTTTGCAGCCGCCTCGTGGAGGGGCGTGTACCCCCAGTTGTCTCTGGCGGCCGGTGGAGCTCCTAGAAACACCATCAAACGTTGGGTTCAATGCTTCCGCTGTGGTTTCCTGCGCCCGCATGACCAGGCAGCTGGTGTTCCTCAAATCGTTAAGACAAGAGGAGTCAGACTTCGATCGGCCAACAATTATAGCACTGTACATACTCCCACGTTATATGTGTTATTTTATAGTCATACCACTTAATGCCATTACGATGGTACCCCTAAAGATAATTCTATATAAATAAGAAGCTTCTAGAATGAAAAAAAAACTTGTTAAAACATCCTTTTTTGATGGATCAAAGAAACTGAAAACTCAAGAGTTCCTCTTTCCGCAACTCAGTAAAATAATCATGAAAAAAAAATGGTTATTGAAAATTTTTGTTTTAAACAATTGCATCAGTGTTTCATTGTGACCCTTCGGTCTGTTCGAAGTGTTAAAGAGATGGCAACAGAATCAACAGAATCTATTCTTCAAAGTTTTGTCCGCACCACAATCTACTGATGGTCGGCAGTGTAAATTCATGATACAACCCGCTATGCTTATTCGAAAAAACTTCCACACCGTTTAGTTTCCACATCATTCCTTTCAATTTACAATACGACTTTTTATTACTGGCGGTAGGACCTCTTGTGAGTCCGAGCGGGCAGGTACCACCACCCTGCCTATTTCTGCCGTGAAGCAGTAATGCGTTTCGGTTTGAAGGGCGGGGCAACCAACTATACTTGAGACCTTAGAACTTATGTCTCAAGGTGGGTGGCGCATTTAAGTTGTGGATGTCTATAGGCTCCAGTAACCACTTAACACCAGGTGGGCTGTGAGCTCGTCCACATATAAGCAATAAAATAATAATTAAGTGTTAACATTTGTCATCCCGGAAATTTTATTTTGGTACAATGTGGTGTTCGGAGGCTCAGACAGATGCATGCCCAGATGATGTCTACAAAGCTGTCTACACAACAAACAAGATTCTAGAACGAACCAGCTGTAAGCAGGGCCCTGACGACGTCAGCGTGACCGAACGAGCATGCGTTATGTAACGGCTGCAGCCCGCCATCGTCTCTCGCCTGAAGAGCGGCTCCGGCAGCGATGAGTATCTCCACTATTTCCCTGCGTCCGTAACCTGGTAGAATTGAGAAAATACTACATCATTTTGTATGCAATAGAAATTGTTTACTAATAACTTACACTATAAGTACTTTATGGATGTTTCAAGTCATCCTGACTTGAATGGTAGAACCGCTGTAACACAATTCTATTGGGGTATTGAGATCAAGCGTGTTATGTAATAGAGCTATTTCACAAAGCAGTGACATGTTCTGTGACAATAAGCTTGCAAACCATAATTGTACGGTTTGTACATACCTAACTGAATGAGTTGACACGCACCGCGCGTCAATGCACGACGCGCGACATCCATAGGTCACTGATTCAAATCCGGCTCGAAGGACCAAAAAAGATGTTGGGTTCCAAGGGGAAGTTTCCAAAGAGTAAGTATGTTGTTTGAGCACCTTTATTATGTTAGTTGTACAAGTACAAATGGTAGCATGTTAACGAATACGTGTTGCTAAGTGCACTGCTATACAAGAATGTAATAAAATAATTTGACACCACAATGACGACGCACTGCGCGTCAACTTATTCCGTTAGGTATGTACAAACCGTACAATAAAAGTATTACTACTTATGTACTACATATCCAATCCAGGTGACGGGGCAAAGCGAAGCCACCATCGCCCAAGATGTCTTATCAAATCCCGGATCCACTCTCAGTGCTTTTAGACTCTTCAAGCACCAATCACCGTCCTTGTTGAACGAATTAGCTCATAGACACAGCCCACAGAGTTTCACGCCGGATAATTCCATGTCTTGATTCCGTTATGTTAGTAGATTCAGCAAAGGACTGCTCTTGCTAGGGCTAGTGTTAGTAATTCTCTCAGGTTGAGCCCATGAGCTCACCTACCGGTCCGCACGAAGTTGGAATAGCCCCTTAGGCTACCAATGAATAGGTGGGAAAGTTACTTATATACTATTCCATTTTTACCCACCGCATATACATAAAAGAGGTTTAGTTTTAACAATTTATAAAATAAAATTAGTTTAGCAATTTAATAAACCATATCTGTATTAATAAAATGCTGGTGTACACTCTTCAATGAAAAACTACGTTTAAAGTAACACTTGTTAAGTCACATAATTCATTTTCGGAATCTAGCTATTGTTATGTTAGACGATTTAATATAAGATGCAGATTCTCTTGGGACCACTGAACTCCAGAGAAACAAAGTTTATGACACGGGTATCTTTCATTAAATCGCTTTGCGTTTGAACACTTGAGTAAATAATTTTAAAATTCAAGACAACACATGTTGATCTCCTCAGTAAGATTGATAATAACAATGTAAAAAATATTGCTGTTTATTTAAAAATTCTTCTACTTAGTAATATTGCCATTCTGTTTTTAACATTCAAATTTTTTTGCTTTCAATAGCAGAAACAAGAAAACTTTGGAGATTAGTACCATAAATTACTTTTCTTAATACTCATGTTTCTAGTATGTATTTGATGGCATAGGAAAGATATTATTGATACTATTAGTGACATAAATAAAGTTGTCTGCTGAGATCAGTAGATGCTTAGTGTTTCTAGGACAGCATTAATGAAATTAAATTTGAAACAAGTCAGGACAATTGCAATTATTCTATGAACAAAAAAAACTATAAAAAAATCAGAAATTTCTTTCGTACTGATATGAGTGATCTGAACTCTCATAAGTTGTTACTTTTTTTTCTAGCTATTCTAGTGACCTCTAACAGGGACATTGCTAACACTAGCTCTAGTAAGAGCAGTGCTTCGCAGACTCTACCACCCAGATTAGAAACCCACTTCCAGATTAGAAATCCACACTCCCAGATTAGAAGACCTACTCAGAAGATCTAGCAAGAAACACAGTGAGCCGTGTCTGAGGGTCAATTTGCTCACCAAAGCTTTTGTTGCAAGAGACAGGTTCGATGAGAACAGTGACTGGGACTTGAGATACGTAAAAGCAATGATTGTGGATCAGGAGGATCCAAAATGACATGCATTGGTACCATTATTCATCATATTTCAACCCAGAAGCAGTGGGAAATCTATTATACTACATAATTGAATTGTAGACCATGTTCTGAAACTGCTCCTTTCGAGGGCTATAGAGGCCAATATAAACACCCCTAATCCAGAAACTGGGTCAAATTTTTATTAATATTCAGAGGCAATTTTATATGCATACTATTGCAGTGTTAACAATGATACAAGTCCAACAATTTGTTAATTTATTTAAACAATACTGTTAATAATTCACATAGGACTAATGTTAGAATCGTGTTGTTGGAATAGAACAAATCTAATGTTTCATTACGAGCAAAACTTTCAGAAATGTTTTTTGTCACTCATACAAGGTAACGAAACTCAATTCGGTCTGTATTAAAAACGTGAATATCCATAGAACACGAAATACTGTAATCAAAAACCGTGACTAATTATGCAATGATATAAAAACATTTTTATTCTCACACTACCCTGAATACTTTCACTTTATTTTCAATATTATTATATTTTTTAACCACAATGTGCGAATATTGATTTTAACGATAAATACCTGCAGCGAAATGTAGGGGCGTTGATTTACGTCCAGCCGTGTCCCTTGCATTCACCGTTTGTGGTGTAACTAGTTTTTTTACACGGGCTGCATCGCCTATTTTGCAAGCTTCGAACAATTCCCTTAAGGGATCCGTGGGCGCCGGAAGAGCATCTAACGCCGAACCGAGCATCGAACGGCGGCTCGACATGCTGCTATATGGTTTCACATTTAATATTTACAAAAACAATGGCTGTATTTGTACATTTTCGCGATTTTTTTCACACAAAACACGTACGATACAGCTGCTTGACTGCGTTTATGACATTAAGGTTTAATCCGGTGTTGCTATATTTAGATTTGATTACCCTAAAAATAACAATGTTTGTGCTAATTTCGTCCATTTGTGATGTTTACGTTATGTATGTGGGACGAAAATATTTCATCGCAATGCGAAGGCTAGTTATTACTGAGCTACTGAAAACTTTTTAGGGTTTTCACTTTTGTTAATTTAGTTTTAATTCCATTGTAATTTGTCCATGTAATTGAATAACAACACATTTTTTTGTTTTAACTATTTATATACCAATTTCCGTAGTTTTAACATATTGATATTATTACTGTTTGTTAAGTACAAAAGTAATATAGATAAATTCCGATCTGGCACTCTTCTTCCTCCATGCATCATGTTCCTCAGTGCTGAAGGTCGTGACCTTTATGGAGCACTTTTGTTCTTACTTTGTTCTTCCATTCATCCCTATCCTCTGCGCAGTTCGTTGATTTTGGAGCTCAATATCGTCTTAATTTGATCGGACCAACGCGTGGCACTACGCGTCCTTACCCTCTTTATTTTGTTTTACTTTCCTGCTTTCTTTTACTTTGCTGTTAAAAGGAATTTTTCGAAATTGATAATTTCGAAAAATTCCTTCTAGTGATAAATATAATAAATATAGATTAATTATTTTAAGGATGTCCATGACGAAATTAAGCCCTTTTAATTCATTACTGGTTGATATTTAGACTTTGTTTTTATTTGACCATTAAAAACGAAAGTATTTTGTAGTAACTATTTTTCATGAATGTTGGTAATATTACATTGCAAAATGCCGGAAGATAACCGACAGCGCAGTGCCACCATTACGCAGACCGCGACGAGGGTGACACAGTGGAACATACTATGGCGCATTGCTCTGGATTCGATGAGCAACGTGCCACCCTCGTCGCGGTCGTAGCAAAGGACCTGTCGCTGTCACGCGTCATGGCTACGATGCTCGGTAGCGAAGCATCCTGGAAGGTAATGCTCGGCTTCTGCGACTCCACCACATCGCAGAAGGAGGCGGCGGAATGAGAGAAGGAAAACTCTTTCCACACCGATCCGTCGCCATCGAGCCGGGGGACAGATGAAACAGTACGAGCGTACATCCTGGCCCCTGTAGGTGGCGACATCCGCTCAGTGAAGGTCATGGGGCAACCTGAGAGGGTTGAGGCTGCGTGGCACTCTACCAGCACTCTAGCGCGCTGACGAGGAGAAATATCAACGTCTTGAAGAGCAATCGGTTGGCGATATATTGCGTCCTAGCCTGACAGGCTGGTTCAGCGGGATATTCCGGGACATCAGTGGCACCGTCTGGGTGGTCCGATGGGCTGTCGTACCGAGACGGCTGACGTTTCAGAACCTTCGATCCGCTTCGAAGGCTACGTCGGCCGGGTGTCCTGGGGGTGAGCTGCGCCTTCTGGTTGTAGTATTGACCGTGGTAGCCCTCTTACCAAATCCGGGTCGGGTCCTGAGCTCGGAGGGAATGGAAAGCTTGGGCGAAGGGTCTTGTCCTTCCCCCGATGAAGGTTATCGGGCAATCTGAGGGGGAGAGACTGCGTGGCGTGCTACCTGTGCTCTAGTGCGCTAGATGGCAGCAGTTCCACGGAACTGTTGTGTGAGTGCAACCAGTTGGAGGTGTAACTCGTTTCAACCTGGCAGGCTGGTTCTGGTCCAGCGGGGTATTTCGGAACACTAGCGGCACTGCCTGGGGCGGCCGGTTGGGCTGCCGTACCGTAAGTAGAGTTGACGACTATTGCTTTATTGACCCGCCGGTCGGGCGTCCTAGGGGTGGCGCCGCGAGACTGGTTGTAGTGTTGACCGGATTCTGACCCCAGGTTGAGATCGGACGTCAGGTGAGAGAGTGCAAAAGGAGTCGTTTAGTGGGTAGGGCCCTAAAATTCCTTGGGCCCGCGGTCTGCTCCCAACACCTTGCAGATCAGTCCCACATACCCCGTGTGCTCCCTAGGCATGGGGACTTCGTAGGAGGTTCCGCCCAGTCCCGAAAAAAAACCGCTTTTAAGCCTAAATCGCTGTAATCTCTGACAAATGGGAGTCGCGTCCCGGTATAGGAGAAGTTCGTGCGTGAGGTTCTAATGAAAGCACGATCTCGCCCATTGGCGTACCCATCAGTTCACCCGTGGTCTGTGTGGTATCGAGGTCGATGCTCATAAGAATACAGTTTTACACGCTATTATGCTTTGTAAAAGCTTAGCCTATAAAGGTCAGCTCTACTACCATCAATCACATTAAGAATGAAAATAAAAAGTTTCATGACGTAACAATCACAGACATTTTGCGTTCTCTTATGACAATATAAAATATTCTGATATAAGCTGAACAGTTCTTAGAACATGAAGGACTATTGAAAGTATCAATGGAGAATTTTCAACTTCTACAATTACGATTCTTAAATACCATAAAAATATATATATATTAATATCTGTTGATTTAATCACCTGGGTTATTGGAACAAATTTTTCTAAAACATATTTTATACTTTCACCATCACCGTCGCTAATGGATGTCAGCAATACCACAGGTAGAGAGAAGCTGCCGTCAAATACTAATTATTAAGAAGGGTTAAGAATTGTGGGAGATAGAAATGTTATTTTACCTACAAATTTCAAGTTTTATTTTCCGGTAGCATTGTCCACCAGAGACAAATTTGATTTTTCAAACTTTAAAGATGTCTAAAATGTATGTATTTCGGATGGACAGCTGTATTTTTCACTCGCTGTTTTTTCTTCCGTTTCTTCCGTTAGAGTTTCCACAAGTATTGATTCTTATTAAAAATGAGTCTTTAACTTATTTAAAAAAACCTGTTTATTTTATAATTTATAAATGTTTTAATTTTTCTCATTTAGAACATATTTGACTCAGACGATGATTGAAATGCAAAAACAAAACGTCGTCAGTCTGTTTTTGTCTATGACTCACAGTTGACGAAATCAAAATGGCGTCTTTCACGGGGTAGCGCATATTCGCCGCATAGTGGATATATTGCTCACCATAATCGCGTGTGCGAAATTTTGTCAGTGCCTAAAACTTAACGTGATCGTTTTATCAGTGCCACAGTGATTTACGGCCTAACGGACATTATAAAGGAGTTTTTAACGGAAATTTCTATAGGTATGTATGTCCTTTCACTCGCTGATTAAATTATTGTATTATTTATCGGAGAAAACAAAATTACATTGAAGGAAACTTGGCACGGTTACGTTGTTTGTTAAGAATTACGTACGTTCACGCCGTTCGAGGTGCGGAGGCATCGTTTATTGGTTCAGTAGGTGAGAAATCGCAAAACTGGTTTTCTGATATGAGGGCGCGAGTTGAATTAACTTGCCTAAGATTGCTTAGTAATTGCTAGTTCCTGATTCAGTACGCGTCGCGGGCGGTCGTTACGTCTCTAAACTACAATCGAAACCTAATTTAATTAAAAAAAGGAACAGGTTACGTGAAAATATCGATTGTCAATATATTCTTAAAATTTACCTAAAATGTGATTCGTAAAATTTATAAATTATTTGTCATTCAATTTGCATAATAATCTTAATCAAACAGTGTTAAAAAATTCTTTCTCTAAGCCCTAATTAAACTGTGATGTTATTCGTGTGCTTTGGAATGGATTACAGTGATACAGGAATTTGCCTCAACAGACACAGCTGGTATTTCCTTATTAATAAATTATTACGTTCTGAACTCCTTATTTTATACTTAAAACTAATGTTATTTAAACTGTTATTTCTTCAAATTATGTTTGAAGAGCCCCACTATAAGGCAGCACTCAGCTAAGGCTTAAGTTGTCCCTTCTATGGCAAATGAGGAAACAGCCACCAAACATCACAAGGGTTAGCTCTTGTGATTATTACCTCCAAGCTGTATTTATGTATGTTGGTAACAGTCAACCATTTGATGGACAAGGAAAAAAAACAATTTTTAAGTAAATCTACAACAAAATAACAAAATAAAATATTTTTAATCAAATAATAACAAAATAAAATATTTTAATCAACCCACAGAATTCGATTACTAATTGACTATTATAATGAGATACTGTTACATGTGGCTTATCCTGTTTGGTTCAGAAAAAATGTCAGCAAAGTTTTTAAACTGTTACATAATTTATCCAATGATAATAAAACTGGTTCCTGTGGTACTGAGATTTTTTGGGATAAAAGATAGCCTTAGTTACTGTACTGACCAAAAACAAATCACTAAAAAAATCAAAACAATCCTTTGCTTTGTTTCTATGTGAAGAAAAGGACAAACAAACAGACTTTTCTTTTTATTGCCCGAGCAGGCAGGCTTACGGCCCACCTGATGGTAAGTGGTTACCGTCGCTCATGGATATCAGCAATGCCAGAGGCAGAGCCAAGCCGCTGCCTTTCATTATGTACTCTCCACAAGAACACATTTATAATATTATATCTGTACTAATATCAGTACTAATATCAGTACAGATAGTACGGATTATGTATGTATTTACTTTGTATGAAACATTTATTCAATTATGTTTAGTAAGGCAATAAAAAAAAAAAGTTGTTGTAGTCAGTTCCTCCTTTAAAAATTCCATTTACTCTATTTGTGAATTTGCTGGTGGTAGGACCGTGGTTAGCTTGCACGGGTAGCTACACCCCGCCTATTTCTGCCAAGTGGGATAGCTGTTATATTGAAAACTGAGGTTAGAACTCTTGTCTCAGAGGTAACGGGCATTTACATAGTTGATATCTATGGGCTCCAATGAATACTTAGCACAACCTGGACCGTAAGCTTGTCCCCCTACATTAGCCATAAAAAATGGCTTTTGAATGTGTCCAGCTGGGTATTGTACAACTCAATGACAAAATCTCTTAAAACTGATTCTTTAGTTTTGTGAATTGGTGCATATAAAAAAAAGTAATACTTACGTAAATCGAGACACAGGTAATCGTTCTTACACCTGTAGCTCCAATATTATGCTGATAGAACTTTTCAATTAGACTAATAGAGAAGATGAAAGTTTGCAAAACAAAATGTTCAATTTGTGTCAGTTTTATGTATAAGTGGGGATAATCACTTCAAAGTCAAGGTCCTTGATCTATACATAGTATGGAATGGCAGTGTAGACAGGCGGAATTAAAAAGCTTTTAGCTAGCGTTTAAATTTAATTTAATAACAAGTTACTGCAATTAATAACTCACCAAAGGATATTAAAAAGTGAGTCATGATTATATTCTTCATTATTCCAAGAATTATTACTCCTTCCTATGCTATTTTTAGTTAAGGTCAAGGTGTGAAAGTTTACTTAAAGGCTTTTATATAAATAGAATGACACAATGTGTACATACATAGTAGCATCCAAAAATGTGAACTTTCCTTCTAGTAAAAAGAAGAAAAATGTCATGTAATCATGTACTTGATAACTTGTTACACATCTCGCCTCACTCAAGATACAATAAATACACAGATAAGAGAGCAGATGATACTGATATACTGATAAAGATAATAAAAATTCCAAATTGATAAGTCTCTTGTTCTAAGGTCTATGGCTGAATTAAGTTTTATTTTTCCTGTTTGGGTGAACTAGCTAGGTATGACAGTGGTATGACATTCTCAGAATGCTTAACCACACTATAGGCTAGATTAGAAGACAAATTTCTTATTTTTTAACTGAATCTTAACATTTCACTGATTATGGTCAAAATTTGATAGAGTCAGTAGGTTAATTGTTTTCAAATGTTTCATGAAAATTCGGCCCCATAACCGAAGATTTAGATTTTTTTTTAATAAATCTTTCTTGTTCATATCATGTCGGGGTCACCAATTCGGAAGTATTCGACAAAGGGATGTTCTTCAAGCGAACTGGTGAATTTGCTTGGTAGACCGAGACAGTCTGTTATTGTTTGGAACTTTTATAGATATGTATATGCAAACTTGCAAACTTATCATGGAGACGCACGATTCAGGCATCTGTCAAATGTCTTCAGTGCTAATCTGACTACAACGCATGTCAAGACATGTCACATCAGAATTGAAGTGGTTTAACTAAAAATTTTAAGAAAAAATGAGTTTTATACTCACTTTATACTTCAAACGGCCGTCTGGTGTAGTGGTAAGTGACATGGTCACTACACAAGGGGGTCACGGGTTCGAATCCCGCCAAGGGAGGCTATTTGTATGATAAATATAAAATGTTCGAATCCCGCAGGCGAGTACCAATTTTTCTAATGAAATACGTACTCAACAAATGTTCACGATTGACTTCCACGGTGAAGGAATAACATCGTGTAATAAAAATCAAACCCGCAAAATTATAATTTGCGTAATTACTGGTGCTAGGATCTCTTGTGAGTCCGCGCGGGTAGGTACCACCGCCCTGCCTATTTCTGCCGTGAAGCAGTAATGCGTTTCGCTTTGAAGGTTGGGGCAGCCGTTGTAACTATACTTAAGACCTTAGAACCTACATCTCAAGATGGGTAACGCATTTACGTTGTAGATGTCTATGGGCTCCAGTAACCACTTAACAACAGGTGGGCTGTGAGATCGTCCACACATCTAAGCAATAAGAATAAAAATCAAGTGCTCCGGGAATTTTACAACAGATATACGGTGTTATAATATGCCGTAAGGTAAATGGCGAATTTAATTTAATAATGGCGAATGTAATATGTAAACATGAAAATTCCTTACTGTGCTTCGTTATTTCCGCTAGTTCGTTGTCTAGATTTCGGTGTCTCGATTTAAGCGGTTTGCGTAGTTAAACATAAATTCTAGTTTTCACAAAACTAGTTGTAGATATAGACAGAATATTCTGTTTTTATTTTTCTTCCTTTTCTTGTATATGTTTGAACTGTATTGTGTTCATTAAAAGAGGTTTACCTTGGAATATAATAGCCGACACGAAAAACAAATAGATGTAAATTAAATTAAAAGTTATTTTTATATATTTTTTTTACTTAATGCTTATACTTAAATTAATATTTCTACTTATACTTATACTTAAGTTACGTATACTTATATTTTTTTATAGGACAGATGGGTGGACGAGATCACGGCCCACCTGATGTTATGTGGTTACCGGAGCCCATAGACATCTACAACTAAATGACGTCACCCACCTCGCGACTCGAGTTGTAAGGTCTCAGTTTTTAAAACTACATTTTATAATTTTAAATAACAGTAATATTAATGTATTTTTGGAATCAAAAATGTAATTTCCATGTTCGGTAGCAGCGTCTACACCAGTGCGCTTAGTGCGAGTTTTTTAACGTTCTCGATAGCGTAAAAGTTAACTCAAACTTGTATGGAGTTGGAACGTTTGCCTACGTTTGCCGCTAGGGGCGCTGTTCCATCCGCATACAAGTTTCAGGTAACTTTTACACTAGGTATCGAGCACGTTAAAAAAGTCGCTCTAAGCACACAGATCGTCTTTTCGCATTAAAAGTGTACAAGTTCCAAAAATATTCGAATTGAGTTAATATGCGGAATCATTTGGTATTATCAGTATTTTTCTCACAAATACTGTCAAAAGAGCGTGTTTTATTTTTTATTTTATTTATCTATATTTTGATTACCTTTAACAAAATTAATACATAATTTTATCTTACTTTAAAAGACAGATAATGTACTTAACTGGTAAAAAATAAAAAATTAATGTTGCAAAGATGATTAATATTAAAAATATCACATGTTAAACCTTTAAAACACTCTCCTGTAAAATTAGTAATTTTTGAGATTATAGTTTTAATGCGAGAAGACGAGATGTCTTTGCCTTTATCCGGGAATGATAATAAAAAAATGTAGCGTTAAATTTTCACCCGCTATTTTGTCACTGCAAAATGGAAGCGTGTCACGTTTAACCCAAGACGTTTCGCTAAACAACTTCTTAGTAAAGTAATGTTAAGGAGAAAAGTGTTATAAAAATATTATTTAATATATCAGTGTCTTGTAATATGTACTTATATAATATATATTTTTTTATTTATTTTTATTGCCTAGGTGTGTGGACGAGCTCACAGCCCACCTGGTGTTAAGTGGTTACTGGAACCCATAGACATCTACAACGTGAATGCGCCACACACCTTGAGATATAAGTTCTAAGGTCTCAGTATAGTTACAACGGCTGCCCCACCCTTCAAGCCGAAACGCAT